AACCTGTTTCGAACAAATATTTTTCTTTTTAAGCTAAACAGAATCTAAAGGGATGCATAACAAAAGTTTTTATCTTTAACAAGCCACTTAACACATTAATATTTATTTGCCAAGAATGAATCGAAACTCCAAAATATTTCACAATGAGATTTCTTGTTATTTGCAGACAGAAGGCTAATTAACACACGCTAATTTTTAGTCAACAATTGCATCTTACCTCCACAAATCCATCCCCAAAATTCACACCATTTCCAAAGTTATACGTGCGAGCAAGGTGGCGATTAAGGGAGAAAGAGTTGAATTGAGTTAATATGAAAATATTCCGTATCCCACTGTTGATGCAGTTACTCATGGGTACATCAATTAGCCTGTAACAGCCTCCAATTGGAACCTGCAGAATAAACCATGTGATTACACATTCAGACGTTAAACTATATATATGTCAGTTGCAATTTAATCTCTTCTAAAAATTTTGTACTCTGAAGTCTTTAAGTTCAATACTGTTCTTTGTGAAAATGGCACGCTTCTAGAAGTAAAGTCACTTCTTTTTTCCTCTTAGTCTAACAATAGCAATACAAATGAAGACGTAAAGTCTCCCTAAATGAAGTTTTCGTCATCATTAAAAGCTAACATACTGAATTTTACCATAATCAAAACCCAAAACAAATACAACACAATAAGCAAAAGTATGTTAGATCTTCTCTTACAGCAGGTTTAGCTCTCTTGCTGGTAAGAGGAAAGAGCCGGGTCCCGGCACCCCCACCAAGAATTATTGAAGCCACAGTTTTTGGATCTGCCTTTCGAGGATCATCAAAGAATGGTGCTTCAAATGCCTGAAACCATTTTTAAATGCAAATTCATACTAATCAAACAAACATTTCAAGAACACAAATGAAATCTTGAGGTGAACTTATTCACTCACCACCAACTCTTTGTTGATATCGCGTGTCAAAACCGAAAATGCAACTCCAGGCTTGAAATCTTTTCCCCTGTTTTCACTCAAATTCTGCGAAATCAGTTTCCGAAAAGCATTATTTTTCAAACTCCCTCTGATTTTCTCCCCCCAGAATCCATTTCCCTCATGGCTAAAACGGTTATTGGTTTGCATTGGTTGCACTTTAGCTTTCATGGCCATACAGCAAGAATCCATTTTTAAATCCTAAATAATTAAGCAAAGATTCTAGAATTGATTATGCAAAAAGCACTGGCTATGGAATCCTAAGATCTCAGTACACGTGCACACCGAATATAAAAGGCTAAAATGCCTTTATTTAAAGATCCCAGTTCTCGCAAGAAAGCCCCCACCAAAAATCTTGAATATTGATTAAGAAAAAAGAACTAAAAAAGGTAATGGCTTTACACTGCAAATCACTGATCCACCTCAAATTTAGGCCCCAGACAATTAATAAACTATAACCCAGATCAGAAAAACACTTTATTTGTCAAAAATTAAAACTAAATAGCTCTCACAAAATCACAAAATCAAATCAAACAAAGACCTAATCAGAATTTTATTCAAGATCCAAGATTCTGAAAGAAACTGAAAATTTGATTTGACACAACAAAAAGATCGTCGGAATTCGACAGATGTTAGGTCAAGAACGTGGAAAACTGGTATGAAAAATGTGAATTTCAGTGAAAGAAGAAGTGTGAGTTAGTTTGATATTTGTATGCATGTGATCATCACGAGGATCTCTGATTCAGTAGTGAGAGACAAGTGTCAGAATTACTGGCCTTAAGTGCAGACTACTAGGTTTAGTTGGGAACTATAATGAAGATCTAGTACAATTCTATTATTTATTCTATTATTAGCCTCGAGATTTATTTTTTTCTTTTCAATTCCAAGTGGTGATGGTGCACGCAAAAGGTCGGCTGAGTAGTTAACTCTTCCCCAATGTTGCAAGAATACGTGTCAAGTAGGAACCTAGATACCAATATAAATATTTGGTGGTTTGTGAGGTGGTATACTACTATCTAACAACGTTAGACAAGCATGAATGTGTCTATTAACTTGAATAAAATAAAATAAAAAGGGGTCAATAATAGACTTTGCAATAATATAGAATATAAAAACAAAAAAAATTTAAAAACATAGGTGTGGCAAGGTCTCTAATTTATGTAATTTAGTTTCATTTTTCATCAATATAAGGAGCCAACCTATTGGTATCTTGTGTGGTAATTTCCAAATTATCATATCATGGTTTCCAAACCCAATTATATAAATTCGAACTATTCATAAAATTTGCATGTTTGATTAGGGGCGAGCACATGTATGGTTGGATTGATTTCAGATCCAACTTGACAACTTGATTGATAGTTTTTATTGGGTGAAATCTCAATTCAAAATTGAATGACAAGGCAAATATATCAACATAAGTATCAATGCCGTGACATGAATTGTAAAAGTATGGATGTGATATACCAAAAAATTGACAATTGTAGATTCTCTGTGATAATTATGAACCATACTTTTAGTTAGCCTTTAATACAAATCACTCGAATCAAGGCGATTACAGAACGTGAAGAAGTATGAACATAAGTCGGTTTGGTTTGATTTAGTTTGTCGGATTGAAAGAACTTTTCTCTTGAAGATCAAATTTTTTATACTAACTTCTCAAACTTGTATTTCGGGTTGATGATGTAGGTCGATTAGATGGATAATTTGCCTAACACTATACTTGACAATATCGATTATTCTTTTATCACATCTCCCTTTTTGAAGGTGGAAAAATGCAAACACGGTTGCATGACGAGACTAGGATCCCAATCAAATTAGCTCATCCATTTGATTTAGCTTAATGACTATGTCCTATTTGGGTGAACTGAAAGGATGTACCTTTTAATAAATAATAAATGTACAATCATGGTACAGTGTCAGAATTATTAACATAATGGTTGTCATAATGCCACATGGCACTACATCCTTGGACTGTTTAAAATACAGTCATTTTTTTCCATCAAATTATATTTCGCCTATAGGATTCTATCAACCCTTGTGTCATAATTTTTTCTAGCAAAGGAGCTTAATTCATAACCATATGTCATATTAGATTACTGAATAAAATAAGTATTATTAAATGAAAACTATGTGCTACATATAGATGGCAATGTAAAACATAAAAATTCTTAAAATAGAGTTGTATTTATTTTTCTAATAAATTTTATATCAGTTATTTAAATTATGAATCTTTTTAACCTAACGAATTTTAATACTATTTAATAGTAATAATACAGAACATATAATTATTTGACATTCTAACTCTACTTATAATTTGCAAGCGTAAAAGTAATTCTGCACACATTTTACCAATCATACATAACCGTAACGAAAGTAAAGAACTTTTACGACAACACCAAAAGATAGTCTTTGCATTATTTTTTTCCCTAGAAACTTATCAGAAATTGCATAATCGTCAAATATTTAAGTACTGAAAATTTGAATTTCGGTATATAAACGGAGGTGACACTAAAAAAAAAAAAAAAAAAAAAAAAAAAAAAAAAAAAAAAAAAAAAAAAAAAAAAAAAAAAAAAAAAAAAAAAAAAAAAAAAAAAAAAAAAAAAAAAAAAAAAAAAAAATTAACAAAAAAAGAGGGCAAAGTCTTTTCAAATTTCGTGTAATCGTAGCTTTTCAGACCGTTCAATTTGGTTTGATCGTGATTCAAACTAACAATGATTTAAATAAAAGTCTCCAAAAATGAATTTTACTGTGAATTAAAAGTGTTATGTTCGGAACACCAACTCTCTTATATTCTGAAGAAAACAAGCAAAATCAAGCTAGTTTTGTTTAGCATTTCTACTAGAAGCCAATTTATTTCAGTGATTGTTTTTTTAAGCTATACAGAAAAGTAATAATTTTTAAGATGATAAAATTTTCCGTCTTATAAGGAGACTTGAACATGTTAGATTCGTTCTTCGCTCACATATATTCCACTCCATTAGAATTCTTTCCTCAATTAATTGTGTTTCCAATATGTTAAGACATGACTGCCATTAGAAGTAAACACATATCGGGTTAGGACCACCTAACAACCAGGGTGAAATCTCGAATCGAAAAAATTAATAAACCAACCCAGTCACTTTGGGCCGGTTTGGTTTGTCTAATTTAATGGATTTTTGTTGTATGGATGGAGTGATATGGGTCGTGATCTTGTGCAATTGGGACTCGAAAAGATAGTAAAGAAATAAAATAAAAATAAAGAAAACGTTCTCATCCATATTTTCTTATTGAAATAAATGCTTCTCCAAAGGAATCGATAACGAGATTTATTCATTGTTTTTTTTAACCGTTCTTGTTTTTAGTTTTTGATAATATAACGCTAAAGTCGCTGAAGTTTGTCATCGAACTTTGGTTTGTGAAACACTCGTACAATTGAACATTATAATAATTTCAGTCCACATCTGCTTGTCACGTCACATTTGTGTTAGTACTTGACGGAGTTAAGCAGAATGACCATTTGGAATAGAAAAGGTTTGGTGACCAAACTAAACAAAAACTTTGACAAGTTTGATGAGTAACAAATATGTCTTACCCCTAAAATTAATGGCTGAAAGCTATGATAGAAACAAAATAAGGAAATTTAGGGTGTATCCTCAACTTGAATGACAACGAGAAAATATACACATAACAATGAAGAATACTTAAAAAAATACAAGCGCCTATTCATAAAATATCAGAACTAGAGGTGACATCAACATGACCATTCTGCTAATAGTTCCATTTATTGCCAACGAGCTACCAATAATCGAGATAAACTCCAACTCCCCTGCCGAAACCAACTTGTGGAGCTTCTAGCTCCATTGACGCGCCTAACATTACTAACTATGGTATTAATGATCAAGCTCAACTACCTCTTCAATCATGTTGTTGAAAATTAATTTTTCTTGAATAAATGTGTCAATTGTCGGATCATCTCATCTAAACACTTACAACTATTGCTTCACTAGTACATACTTTTGGTATGATTTACATTCATCTAAATGTTGTGTTGAAACTCACAGGGAGCAACAGTGCGACTCACTATTCAGCTCAAGAATTGGTTCACTTAAATAATGAGCGCTCAAAGGTTTAATTCTTCCTTACAAACATTAATTGGATTTCACATGGAATAATTAAAACCTGATTCTAAAAATAATCAGGTGAATTAAGAGCTATGAGAAATTTATGTTAATGTACAAATTAATGAGATGTAAGAGAGATCCGGGTCACTCAAATAATGGTGGTCGAATGTCATTTTTAAGCTCTCCATCACTAAGCACCAAATTGATACTCAAATAAGATTGTTAAAGCACGATCCAACAAGCATCATGCATTTTTGGACTCAAAAGAAAATCCATTTTCCCCTAAATCAATGCTCCGCGTCACAAGAGACTTTCCAGCTTCGTACGTTCCTCACAACAGCTTTACTTACACGTATAATGTCACAAGTATGATTCAGGTATCATCAACTGAGAAGTTCATAGATTTCAATACAAGAATACACGTGTGTTTCATATTGGCTCTCGGACCGAATAACAAGATTAGGGAACACATGTGTAAGGTATAGTTTGATTGTCTTGAACGATCCTATCTAATAGAGCATACAAACAGCTTTAGATGTTATTACTACTAACAAATCTCCTTCTTTAAGGGTGTTACTCAGGCAATCAACAAATGATATAAAACAGAGAGAAATTCTCTGTATACATCTAAGTTCTAAAGCAAATTGTGTCGGTAACATCCATATGAGAACAAGATTTCAAAGTAAAATGAAACAAATCGAATTTCCAATAAAATGTGCATGTCCACCGAACCTGGATAACTGATATGAAAAAATCTGCTTCATGTGATTTTAAGCAAAATACCCCAATGCTGAATCATTCTTGTCACAGCTTCTCATTAACAGTATGGTGATTCAACAAAACAAAAAATCCTTGCAATGTCAAAAAGTGACGCATCATCAAGAACAAATTCAAAATAATCAAATATAAGAAGAGAATTCACATAAGGTAGCCGAATTCCTATAGAACATATGAAACGTAAATCACCTTCACACTAATAGTCTTCGTTATCTAATCTTGTTACTTTCTGCACTGCACGTACTTCTCCATTTAAACTTGCCTATATAAAGAAGATTTTTAACTATTAGAACTTGCAGAAAAAAGGAAGAAAAAATCCTTGAGAGAACCAGCTATAAACTCGACTTGTACGTGGCCACTTTTATCACCTTCAATAAATTTTGGTCTTTCCACGGCCCCTTGTCTGACGTCAAACAACCTCCTTCGTTTGAACACATACAGCTACCACCTAGAAAACCTGGTAGCTCACTAAAATGACAACGATTTTATCGGACTGTAGAATCACTTCAATTCCGAGCAAGCAAGCATGAAAAGTCCAGTTACCTCTCATCAATAGCTTCCAGTAATTTGCTTTGATAATTATTGCCAAGCACCTAGAGAGGATTTGAAATCAATGGGCTTCATGCATCGTAGACTAAAAAAAGGGAATTTATGCAGTTTTATTTACATGAATGAACTTCTTGCAGTATACCTGAATCTTGGAAGTTGTATCTGGGTCGAGTAAAGGCTTCACTATAGTCCAGATCAACTGAAAGGCAGGACCAGCATTGATGATAAACATTCGGCTAAGTGTCTGCAGAATAGTTAACAATATTTATGGATATTTAGGACATATTTGATACACATGCCGGTAATTGATAAGACGTACTTCAGGATAATTGTCATTATCAATCTTTTGAATAACCTTAATGAATTCTACAACAGGTCCAGTCAAACTCATTAAACCCTGAATAAGAACAATGGAAAGTTGTTAAATAATGTAAGAATCTTCAAATACGATGTGAGAGATTTATAGAAGTTAGAGTAGAAGAAATTAGTGTACCAATCCTTGGACATCTAAGATTGTTGTGCTTGAATCTATATGCCTATTTGCAGCAAGAGAACAAGCAGGAAACCTGACAGCAAGAGTCTTCTCGAATTCCTGGACTTGGTATTTCACAAATCGGTCGAAAGTAGTCACTTGCACCAACTTGTCAACGTCCATCTTCCCCAATCTTTCAATGTAAACTGGTCTTCCATCCTTGTCAACGCTATGATATCCCTGTGGATAGTATTCCTGAACGTCGTTCAATTCTGTGAAGTCAAAGTCCTGAAGAATAAAAGCACAGAAACAATTAAGATTCAAATCAAAGCTAGGTGATATATATAACAAGTCAAGCATCAAAACTCAAAGGCTGCAGCCAACTTGTGGTCAGGCAGAGAGACTAGAAATACTCAACAAAAAACCTTGAAATTCCAGAATTTTTTGACAAATTGACAAGCTAAGGAGAACAATACAAAAATGCGTCAAACAAATAAGAGCTAAAAGTCCATCAGAGATCACCTCCGTGATCGTATCCACACCAAAGTCCTTCCTCCACTGAATCATGTCAGCCCACATGCGCTTTGCATTTTCAATATTGAACTTCCTTGCTTTCAAAAATCTGCAAGTTTATTATTGCTAAAAATAAAATTAGATTTTTTATTATTTTACGACAAATAACATAAAACATTGAATGAAAAGCATGTTAATCAGAATAATATAAAGCAGAAACTGAAGCCAGATGAGTAGCATCTGGAATTGCTACATTGTCAAGGGGTAGGAAAAGAAGGATCACTAATCTAAGAAGTGATTTGTCATTTCCTGAAAAGATCTAATAGCCAATCTACTATATTTCATCAATGCCGAAGTGAATAACGAAAGAATTCTAGAAAAATATCCAGAAGAAGAGGAACTGGGGAAGGACATTTTACATTAATTTCATAAACAATGCCACACACACACAC